CCCCCTCCAGTCGTCTTTTGTTTTCCCCGCCACAAGTCTCCAGTGTTTGTCCGAGTCGAAGCTGATCCCTTCGGGAACAACAACCTCTTGGAAGAACCAAATATCAACAGCATCAAGTGGCGGGTGTCCCCGAAGCGCGGGAAGGAGGACCTGCATGATCTTCTGCGGGGTCGCTCCCCCGAGGTTCCAAGACGCCACAGTGACTTTGCGGTGGGCTGGGTCAATACCTTCAGGTAGTCCCCGCCTTGTTTGGTGAAACAGGCCCGGTGGTTTGCCTAGTCAACGGAGGTGGGCGGCCAACGGCCTCCACTTCCTGCTCACTTCCCCTTCGTCAACGCCAAGCTGCCTCGCTAGCTCCCGCAGGTGGATCCATCCTGGCCCCGCGTCATCGGCTCCGCTGGGCTTGCTCCCCCCTGCTGAGGCAACGCGCCTTTGACGGTACCAAACGGACCCCGTGGACCACTCGACTTCCAGCTGCCGTGCGTCCCCTTCCATCTCGAGGATAAGCCCCCCTCTCTCTCTCTCTCTCTCTCTCTCTGTTTTTTCCGAGGACTCCTCTTGGGTCAGCAGCTGCTCCTGGAGCCGTTCCGCCTCCTCCACCGCGCTGGTGAGGACCTCGGCAGAAAGAGCGGAGGAAGGCGAGAAAGCTAAGGTTTTTGTTTTTAGGGCTTTAGGGTTTAGGGGTTTAGGGGTTCAGGGGTTCAGGGGTTTAGGGGTTTGGGGTTTAGGGGTTTAGGGTTTCGGGTTTAGGGCTTAGTGTTTAGGATTTAGGGCTTTAGGGTTTAGGGAAGCCAAAAGAAAACCCCACACTAAAAATTAAAAGCCTGGTGGAGCACTCTAGGCGCTTCATGTCCAAGGCAGCTACGTCGCGGCTGACCATTGAGCGGGTTTGTTTCTCCCTCAGCACATCCAGCACCCGGGCAAAGAAAAATGGGACGTAGCACAAGAGAAGTAGGTACTGGTGGCGTACAACCATGCATCTCTCGACTTGGAGATGCAACAGGCACCGTCTCTTCATGGTCAGCATCAATGCCCACAAGCCAATGGCCACAACAAAACTGCTTTCGTATGGCAGCTCAAGTCCCAAGGGCAGCGCAACGCAGCTTGTCTCTCCTCTGCACCTCAACTTGACCACATTCTCGCATTTTGTCCAAGAAACCGGCTGGCTGCACAGAACAGCCACACATTGGGCTTCATGGATGCAGGACTTGCAATTTGCATCCTTCGTTAGCTTGATATATTAGCTGTTCGGCAAGGCACCACTCAGTGCCAACGCCAAATCTTGCCTCGCCTGACAGATTGAGGCTGGCTCAAGTCACTGGCATGATAGCTGTCGCGTCCACCCTCAAAGTGAAATTCGCCCGACCGAGCCTTCATGGCCTGGGACAATTCTCCGCAGCTCGCAGCCTGAAGAAAGAATGCTGGTATCCGCCATCAAGCGGAGCTTGCGCACGCATTGCTGGTCACCAGTCGTGCTATTTCGACTCTTGGCCTGCCAACCTCGTGAGCGACGCGCTCTACTGGTTTCTAACTGCGAAACAGGAACAAGAAACAAACGATGCCCCCAGCCCTGTCCTACCCGATCAAGGCCTCCCGCGACTTGCTGGCATCCTGTTCCAAAGGTCTGTCAAGAGCTTTGCACTGCACGACTTAGCTTGGGATCTGGCCTCTTGGTGCTATAGGTCCATAGACCAGTGTGAACTCTCAAGACCAGAAGCTGCCTGCCTCTGCTCGTCGCTGCTCCTCAATGTCAGCAGCCTCGGCAAGCTTCAACTTGATCTGTTGATAATTCAGCCGAGCGCTGCCGACGGACGAGAGTCGGGAGAAAATGACCCATGTGATGAGCTCATGGAAACCCGAGGCATGGCCACTGTGGTGTTGCTCCATGTGCTGTTAGATATCAAACCTGCGGCAACCTTGCAGTCAGCCCTTACAAAGACTGCTGAGATCCTGGCCGAACAAAGGGGGACTTGATGCAGGTACATTTTACACAGCCGTCAACATCCATGCAGTCGTTCTCAACGGCCAACTGAAACTTGAAATGAACGTACGGTGTGCTAGCTCCAGCCTTTTGACAGGGTTGTCGCGCACGCATGCATCCGAGTCCTCTCCCAACAGCTCTTTGTTGACGGATGTTGCGCAACTTGTCATGTTGCTACCTTTTGCATCTGTGTCACAGTGCAGCCATGGGCCCACCAAAAAATGACAGACGGGCGGAGGATGATTGAAACAACTGGCAAGAATGAAAACATGCGTCAATAAGCCGCGGGGAGGTCAACTTGACCCCACTTTTGCGTGTGATCTGTGGTAAACATCAAACACCAAGGATGCAAGGAATCTAATGATGAAGTTGTCTAACAAGTTTCAAGTCAGTTGCAACTTTCATATGTTTGCTTCCTCGGTCGCAAAACACTCGTTCTCGTCGCATCCTACTGCAAAGTGTCGTCTGGGCTCCGCACAATGGCAGTCTTCTTTGCAGAGAGCTTCTCAATGCTTTGCTGCACTGCCTGCGAAAATCCGCTCTGCGAAGATGCTGGATGACCGCTCGAGTCGGCCGGGGCCTCCATCTCCCTTTCGGTAGCGTCACGTCGGCTGCGCAATGGACTCGAGGCTTCAGCCTGGAGCTTGGCTTCAAGCTCCACCACACACGCAAGGACTTCACAGACTTCGCACCTCGGCGACCCGGCGCTTGTTCTCCGCCAGGAGCTCCTCGCACCTCGCGTGCCGGGGTCAAGGAGGGCTCTTTTTGTCGAATGCCAAAGCCCGTCGAAGAATCTTCCCATTTTCCAACCGCCAATCGCGGTCGGCATGTGCCCAGGTCTCGACAGCTTTGGCCACATCTGGCGGCGATGCTCTGACCACAGGACGCATCGCAACACACCTCTGCGAGGGTTGCCGCATGAAGACCTCCGGAATCTGCTGGTACAGCCAATACCATGGGCCTGGGGCCTTGCAATTCAAAACTGTGCCGTGAAACGCACAGCACAGCTCTGCAAGGCCATTTAAAAAACTAACGCCTGGCCAATCTCTTGGCATTGCCAAACTGGTTGTGCCAGGTCTTCAAACATTAGCACATAGAAATACAAACACGGCCTATTCTCCATCGCATCACTCAAGGGCTCCAAGCGAAGGCGCTGTCTTCAGCCGCTTGAGCTGCGAGAAGCGCTGTTTCTTGGCAAGCATTACCTGCAGCTTTCTTTCATGCCTGTTCAACTATCAATGAGCTAGATTTGAAAAATGCATGTTTCTAGCGGTGCCGGCACTGTGTTCACTCCCTTGTCGCCGAGAATGTTATCGAAAATCTTACAAAAGCGGGTACTTCGATTCAACGAAGCGAGCACCTCTTGGTCCTCCACGAGGCCACCCATGTCCAGAAAGTAGTCTGAGCACAAGGGAGGTGAGGTGAACCCGTCAATATACGTTCGAGCCGGTTCGAGACATGTAGGTCGCTGGCTTTTCATCTTGTTCATCATGATCACGTCCGGAGTGTAGCTGGAACAGTCCTGCAGCTTCACATTTCTACCATGAATGCTTCTACCATCAATTTCCCGAGCAATCTCCTCGATGGGCCGGTAGAAAGACCTTCAAATCAGCACAGGGCAGTCGCGACATCAAAAGACTGAGCACTGGGGATCCGGCTCCCACTGCTGTGAGCCCGGAACATCTGAGCCGCAACAAAGAAATCGGCGACGGGACTTTTTTAGTACAGCGCAGCATCCCTAAAGTCTCCACACGGTCTATGGCCCGCACGATGCACAACAGCTACTCTACTGTCCTGCTGGAGGAATCGGCGTTGAGCCACCTCCTTCCAGAAGGCAAAGGACTCGTGGACAGTGGGGGGTGGCTCGCGCCGAAAGCACTATTTCACAACATCTGCACGAGCATCAGAAACAGCAACCACAACGTGGGGTCAAGGGTCGAAACTGTTCTTGCAGGTAGCTCTCAACACTTGTATCTGCCATCAAACATAAACCGAGCCATGCCTTGCCTACAATCACAAAACTTGCAACGCAGTCTGCTGTCGCTGGCGGAAATGACCACACATGGAACGCAACTGACACGAGTGCCTCAGCGCAGACCTCGGCAGAGAGAGACTCCCGCAGGTTGTCATCCTGGAGCGGCTTCCGACGAGTTTAAAGCCTGAACGCCCACACATCGCCACACCATATACTACCAACTCGGCTTCAGCTCCGAGCAAGACCTTGCGCGTGCAGACAGGGCGGCTGTGAACATGTCTCTCCTTGACCAGCTTCAAAGTCTCAAGCTTTTCACTGATTACCTGACCAACGGACACATTTCGGCAGCGTGAGGAAAGCGAGGCAGGTGGCCAAGCTCTCTGCCTCGGCCAGACGGGAGCCCTCCGTCTCGATTGGCTCCTCTGTCAAGTTGGCCTCCGGGTTCTCTGCTCGCACGGCCTTCTGCAAAGCAGCACTGAGCCTGCGGGTCCAACTCCCTGCTGGCATTGACGTAGCTCTGCGGCCTCAGGAATGAACAGGGCCGGATCAAGACCAGCTTAGAAAAGCCAATGCAAGGCCAGGCGATGCCAGGCGAAGGCTCAGCCCGGAGCTCCTCAAGACTTCCCATCGGCAAAGGCTTTGGCAAGCCCGCGACGCGAATGCGTTGACGGACCTCCCAGCTCAAGGGCGAAGGCTCCAAGTGCCAAGAGCTTACCACGGAAGGACTCCACAGCGCGGGCCCCGTCAACGCGCCGGCCTCCTCCCGGAGGTCCACTGCAAAGTCCGTAAAAGGCCCGAAACTCAGCGAGATGATTCAGCCCTCGAATGGCAAGATTCAGAGATGCCAAGTCGAAGGGCGCAGCCATCCAATCTATTAACGACGTAGCTACATGAACAGGCAGAGTAGATCCATCATCACATGAGCTGCCAGACCGATGTTGCTGCAACGCAGAGTTACTTTCGAAATCAGTAACGAAGAATGGCAAGCCCGCATCAGACTGAAGCCGGAAGTCACCGATCAGATCTAGAATCGAAGTCCGAAACCACACGCTCACAAGGCAATCACCGAAGTCCCCAACTCTCAAACTCGAAATCGCAAAGCTTACTGGCCCTAAACCAAAACCAAGACAAGGACATGGCCCTGTTTGAATGTTTTGGGGTCCCCGACTGCGCACGGGCTTCCAGCTGCGCCCGAGCTTCCCGGCCCTCGGACCTGGCACAGAAGTGGCACGGCACCCTCCTGTTGTTGCCGTCCACTGCTTCTTAACCGTGGCAGGACGGCTACTAGTGCTACCACTGCTATTCCTGGCGCTGCTACTACCGCCACGACTGCCACCACGACGACGAGACGAAGGCGGCTGCTGCTGCTGCTGCTGCTGCTGCTGCTACTACTACTACTACTACTACTACTGCTACTACGACTGCGACTGCTACCTCAGTGCACGGGTGATCGGTAACCTTAAACTGAATCCTGCCGCTTGGTCCACTTGTCCACTTAGTGCATGTGGTGCACTTGCCAACGGTTGGCAACCCCTACAGCTTAAACCCTAAGCCCCTAAACCCTAAACCGTGAACCCAGAACCACTAACCCTTAAGCCCTAGGCCCTAAACCCTAAACCCTAAACGGCAGACCAAGCGAACCCAAGTGAACCAAGTGACCATGGTAACTTGCCCAAGTCGTAGCATTATCATCAAAAACAAGTTGATCAAGTGACCCCAAGAAAGAGCATACCGATTAGCGGTTCTCGAATTCCCGGGCAATGTACTAGCACCACCACTACCAGTTCCACTTCTACTACTTCTATCACTTCTTCTACTTCTACTACTTCTCCTACCACTACTCCTTCTACTACTTCTTCTGCTTCTACTACCACCCACCCCTACTACCAGCCCCACTCCTACTCCTACACCTCTACTCCTACTCCTACACCTCCACTCCTACTCCTGATCCTGCTCCTGCTGCCGCTGCCGCTGCCACTGCCGCTGCCACTGCCACTGCCACTGCTACTGCTGCTGCTACTGCTCGCTGCCACTACCACTACCGCGACCACTACCAATACTACGACGACTACCACTACCCCTATGGCTACCACCACCGCTACTACCACTACGACTACCACCACCACTGGCAGACGTAGTGGCAGTGGTAGCAGCAGCAGTAGCATAAACAGCAGCGAATGGCTTTCCTCTTGAGCTCCTTGCCGGTGGATTTGCAGTCTAAAAATCAAGCCTTCCGCGGAAAATTGTCGGCAAGCAGCGCAGAACCAGGACTACAATACTACTCGGGAGAAGCGAGGCTTGTCTGCGCCGCGCCGAGCGCGAACTGTTCAGAAAATTTCGTGGTGACTTCAAAGGCCGATTTTAACGGCTTCGCAGATCTCGATCTGCTGAATCTAGCCTTTGGATACGTCCTTGCCTCCACTCTCGACTCCTAAAACCAGTCGACAGTTTGCCCGGAGACCTAGTTTTGGAAACACGCACAAGAACACGGAAGTGATGTATCTCCGGAAGTCGATTCTTTCAAGAACGTGCAGGAGGTAGCAAGTATTGGCCCAGCGGATCACGTGGCCAACTACAAATAGCCGGCTTTGCGACACATCTGCTGGGATGCCGTCCGCGGCCGCCACGCAGCCAACCATTGCTGCTAGCCTGAGCGCAAGACTGCACCTTCTCTGCCTTTGCACCCCATGTCGTCATTGCTTTGTCATAACAGCTTCGTTCTCTTGCAGAAAAAACGCGATCTTTGTCCGGGCGTCCAGCTCGGAAATCGATAGGCCACCTACGGGCCTCGACAGCATGACACGTACAAGCCCCTCAATCCTCAGGAACGTCGTCGTGACCCACATAATCAGACTCTCAGTGCCGTAAGGTGCCGGCGCATGCCTCGGGAGACCTTGGCTGCTCGTGTCTTCTAGCAGGTCCAGCAAGTTCGCGGCCTTCACCTAGCAGACTCGACGAAGAGCCCATAGACAACGTCAAGTCTACACTGCCTCAACTCCGGCAAGTTCACCGTAGACATCCGAGAGCACCTGCCAGGACTCTGACTAGACGACTCCATGGACACGATCTCGCGCGAGCACGACTGACATGACTGCCACATCTTGCATGGCATGGGGCACTTCACACGTATGGCTCCGGCCTAGTCCTCCATGGAATACTGAAAACCCCAGCATCCATCTTCCCAAAGTCAATTTCACCCGGCTCTGCACCAAGCTAGGATCCCTTTTGTGCGCCTGGCTCAAACGGGCCTCGGGGAGGCGGAGGCTGTACTTTGAGGATTCGGCCAACGGCCGCGTGCCTCAGAGGGGAACACACAAGAGCAACAGAACATGGTAAAGATGGCTCTGCACAATCCCCAAACGAGGATCTTGTCTTGTAGAAAGGCGAAGCTGCATGACATGCCGGGCCTGAAAAGTGGCCCAAAAGGGCCCTAGCACTGTCTCTGCTGCTGCTGCTGCTGCTGCTGGACAAGATGCAAGGTCGCCCAAGACTACGTGCACGACACCTTGACTTTGACTCCACCCTACTTAAGCGTTTGTGAGATGACTTCTTAGCCGGACTGGGAAAACTGCGAAGACCCTCCCTGCTCCGTTCCGTAGCCCAAGCCTCCAAGTCCAGACGAGATGGCAGCCAGTGGAGCCTTGGCGCTCGCGGACCCGGGCCAGACATCACCAGCGGAGGCTGAGCTGGCGGCCAGCATGGCGGCCTCAGGCTCCAAAGCTCAGAGAGAGCCCCTCGCGATTCTTCTGGCACCCTTGGCACCCTTGGGCCTCCTTCCGGGAGCCGGCGGCCCTGGCGGCGGAGCCGGGCCTTTGCTTTGAGGCGAGGAGCCGTACTTTTTGCGTCTGATTAGGTGGAGCTGAGCGGCATCAGCTGCGAAAGCCAGGGAGACTCCCTGCTGCCATCTGCTAACTCAGACCTGAGTGCGGCTTCGGCTTCGTACGCTCTAAATTGACTCTAAAGTCGTTGGGTATCAGTGGCGCACCAGACTTGTAGCTCCGGCGTGGGGTCACGCGTCAGACCGAGGTGCCTGTCCAGAGATCTCCAAGCTTGTTTGTTTAGTAGCATGTAGTTCTCGCCGAAGCACTCCAGACTCTAGCGATTACACAAGGGTCACCAGCAGCCCGCCTCGCTTGCCACGCCGGCAGCTTCTGAGCCTGTCGAAAGGGACCGGGGGGAGCAGGAGTGCAGTGTGAACCGGCTGGTTTCAATTCGTCGGCTGCCTCTCGCACTTGTTTGAGAGTCATGGCAGCGATGTTGTTACTCAGAAGGCTCAAGTCCTCGAGGACCTCGAATGTTCTCTCTTCCCCATGCTGACACTCAATTCACGAGACAGTGGTCTGAGAAGCAAGCAACAGAAGGCGTAAAGTTCTTGAGCATGTGCCAGAAAACCGGGTCGGGTTTCCCCGAACCTCGAAGATCCTGGCACGTGGCTCACTGCACCCTGCTGAGAGTGGGGTGCCCTGCGGCCCTGCAACATCCTGGACTCCAAATCCCCACCCCCGACTCTGCTGGCGCACAACGAGGCTGAAGAGCAGCGCTGTGTCCTGCTCTTCAAGTCGAACCGGACACTGGTAAGGGTCTGTGGATGCCACGCTTGGACTACATGGTCAGCCGCTCTAGAAAGGTTGTTTGCTTGCACAACAAACCCAGCCCGTGTCCCTGCCTTCTCTGTGAGCTGCAAGAGGTCATATGTCCTGGAACAGAACGGCCCCACGAAGGGGCAAATGATAACGTTGAGATATGGTCTTCTCTGTCACGGGGTTGAACGGCCGACACCGCCGTGGCATTGCCGGACAGTGCTCGCCCAACGCTCCTCTGATAGTCATCCGGGACGACTTTTCTCGAGATCTTTGGGTCCTGCTTGTACCTGGCAGGAAATCCACAAGACCTACGATGCTCGACTTGCGCAAGTGGTGGGCTTCAGGCTCGATGCTTGGTGCAGCTGCATGCCAATGACTGCTGCTGCGAAATGGAAGGGGCACTGCAAGAAGTTGCTCAGAAGGGTCATGGCCAATGCTTCCAGGCTGGCCTATGGCGCGGAAGACTTTCAAAAATGGTCTGTTGAGACCAAACCGGGTAACTGCAAATCATGAAGTGCATGCACACGCAAAGCTCTGAAGTGGCTCGATCCCTTTCAGCGCGTCCGAAGCTCATGGTGTCGAGGATGGATGAGCAGGGATGCATCAGTCCATTCGAACATAGCGCAGGTTCCGCTGCAAAGCGCTGCTCTCAGACAACCACCACTCGAACCAGCGGCTTTCGCATGATGCCGAAACCCTTCTTCACAGCAGGACGACCGGCGGGGAAACTGGTATCTGTTCCGGAAACGTGCTGTCCGGGATGGTGCGGAAATCACCTTGCAGAGAGCAGTGCACCTGTTCGAGGCTTAGAAGCGTTCAGACGACCACCTGTCGAACTTTGAATACAGGCTCCGGAATGCGTTGTCCGGCAGAGTCCGGAAATCACCATCCATTGGAGCAGTCACGGAAGCGTCGGGCACTTCGGCGAGCATAGCAGAAGTCTCTTCGAAAATTCCGCAATCATACATATCATACCGATCTGAAGTAGGCTGCTGCGCGGACTGCGAAAGCAGCAGGCGGGTTAGCCGTTCAGGCCATGGACATGACCCGGTCAATGACCCAGGAAGAAGCTGGGGGTTGCCCTCGCCGCTGCTGCTGAAAGGTGTTCTGTCGGAGCAACACACCCAACCTCGGGCAAATGCCGGGTTGGACGTTTGATCGACCTGATCAAGGGAGAGCTCAAACAACAGCATTATTGAGGAGCGAACTGCTAGCACAGCTCGATGCTCCTACACCCGACTCTGGGTCCCACCTTTCGCAGCTGGCAGCTGCTCATGACCGGAAATCCAGGCTCCCTTGCGCAGTTTTGCAGTTGCAGGTGCCCTTCCGACCTCCTGCGTCGCTTCTGCTGCTCCCACTGCTGCCATCCATCCAATGATCGCCGGCCGAGAAGCCGCGGGTCCGCCCCGTCGGTCTGACAGATCGACATGGCGTGGCCTGACCTACTTTCTGTTAATGAAAAAACATGCCTGACCTACAAGCATGTCCAAAGCTTGTATGCTGAGATTGCTGTTGGTCTCGGCTGCAAGCTATACGGCTACAATCAACAGGATGACTGGTTCGCAAGATAGCTCCTGAGGCACGCAAAGACACGGAATCAACAAGACTGCCTAACACCGACAGCTTCGAGCGACAAGAATGCTGATTCGTGATACACATGCTGGAAAACAACCCAAAAGTGCAGCTGACACCATGGTGCCTGTCCCAGCCATGCAGTGCACACACATACACACATACACACACGCACACAGACACGACAGCAATCTCAACCGGACACTGCTGCAGGACAAGGTCTCTCGACTTGTAAAGCCCCAGTGCCAGCCTTCTTGTTCACTGACCGAACTTTGCGAAGCAAAGTTGCGTAGAACAGCCTGAGCTTTCTCCTTCACAGGCGAACATCGGCAATACTATCAGCGTGAACACTATTTTTGCTGCACTAGCCGCCGTCGGTTTGTCCCTACCGAAGCAGCCGCTTCTTAGCCATGCCCCCTCCTCCGTACCAAAAAAAGTCGGTGCAGGTCGGTGCGCAATTCTCACGAACACAACTTCTGTCTCCTGAGGTGCTCCAGCATGAGCGTGGGCTTGACCAGCTTGAAGACAGCGAGGAACTTCGCCCTCGCACCACATTCCAGACCCACCCAGCATCAACATCACACACTTGAAGAGACTGTACGACTGTGCCCATACGGAACATCTCCCACCACGGTCCAATCAAACGGTTGAGTGTCCTCGTCATCTTCCCCTTGAGGTCATAATCACAGAGCCTGAAGAACCTGCAGCAAACTTGTTCTGGCTTCAATGATTTTTTTGACCAAACACGTGGTCAATCTTGCCGAAGATTGCTCTGTAGAATCATCTGCAGGTTCTGGCGGGTCTTTGGCATAAACGTTCCACGAAAACAGATGGCATAGTGACCTCTCCCAGGAAAACCTCCCGGGTCCCATGTAGCACTCATGTAGCTGCATCAGCGAGGATTGAATTCAGATCATGCCATCTGCTTGTATGAAAGAAATGCTTCGGGCGATCATCCTTCTTTTGCACCACCTGCCCTGCAATGCCCTGACATCCGGCTAGTTGGCACACGCAGCTTGAATGCCAGGTGGTTTTGTTTAACAGTTATTGCATGCATGCATGCATGCATACATACACACATAAACATGTCTTTAAAAATAATAACGATCATACGTGCATACATACATACACACACATGGATGAAGCCTGCTTGCGTCAACGACGGTACCGTGCCTCTTGGCCTCAAGCACCGACATGTTCCAGTGCTCTCCAGCCTGCGTTTGAAAGACTGCCCTTTTCTCTGCGCTGTTCCGAGAGCCCGTCTCCGCAAGTCTCCGACGTGGCAAGACAACCCGCTGATCAGCATGTCTGGTTACTAGTTCAGCACTGCATCTCTAGCTCTGTGCTGACGGTTTGGAGAGCCTGAACGACAAACTTGCTGAGGTCAAGAGGTGCCTGGCAATCCCAGCGCGGGCACAGCGAAAACTGGTACGGATCACGTGAGCCGCATGCACCTGGCCTGGGTGGTGATGTCTTCCAGAGGGTCATAAGCTTTTTCCACATCAAGATACATCCTGCAGTCTGATGGCGTTGGAAATAAAACATCGGGATGGCAGCTTGAGTCTCTCTTTCGCTAAGCGGCGTCTCCAGGCGCTGCCGCCACTCCTCAAGCAGCAGAACTGGGGACACCTCGGAATCGGGCAAGAAGTTCATCTGCATCTGTTCGGCCACAGAAGAGCTTACTCTGGGTCTCGCGCAGAACCCAGGGCCGCATAAAGCTCAGCAAGGGAAACCTGAGAGTGCAAAGAAGGCTCTGAAGTGCAATTGCCTCATCTTCCAAGCATGGCCAGCTTTAAGGCTCCCAACATCATTCCATGTGCCCAAAATCACTGGAGCAAAAACACAAGTCGAGGCTGGCGGGAACACGATTTCGGGAAGTGACTATAACATCGTCCCACTATTGGGTCTTAAAGCAGCTTGTCTGATGTCCGGCATTAGATCAGGATGCGCACTCAACCGCAAAGAGCTGAATGGGCACGAGTCTGTTGTCTCAATGTGGTGGTGCAAGGTGAACGATGCAAGCATGTCAGCTCGAATACGCTCAACTCAAGAACAGATGCATCAGCCCTTCCGCTGTCCATGAAAATGCTGGGGTTCTGTCAGTGCCCGACATGTTCGGAGCGGCGACAGCCTGAGTTGTTCATCTGCCTTTTACGGCCGCAAATGCTGCAGTGGAACGGCTTCACTTTCACACGGCTTGGCCACCAGCTGAAAAGATATAAAGGTGCTCCTCCCATTCCAGCACTCCCACTTTGCTCCTTCTGTCAACTGTCTCTGGCTGACAAGTAACGGAAAAGGGGCTCCCATTGACATGGTAAGCATGCGACAGGAGATGCCCGAAATGCTGACAGCTGTATCGTCGCACACCCCAGGTGTGTCGTGCTGCCTTGGCGACATACAGGACAGCTCGCGAGGTAGCTTGGGCGTCTGCACCGTGAAACATGCAACACAATGGACGAGAACTTACGGAAGGAATAGCAGAATGGATAGACGACACAGAATCACGACATGCGACGAGACATGCGGCTTTTTGTTGTTGAAAGTGTTGGGGGCTGCTCCTATGACAGGCAGCACTGCTACCTCCCGGATCTCTGTGCCGGCAGCAATGATCTCGTATATGAAAGTTTGGGCGCGGCACCATCACCTCCATTGCCCTGCACGCTGAACCGTATCCGAGAGCAATCCACCTGGCATTGGAAAGTCATGTTGAGATAACCCTAAAACCTCAACTATGCAAATTTCAAGACATGTTTGACAGCACCTGCACCGAAGGTCGGCCAGGCTGCGCACTGGGGACATTGCCTGCCATGTGTGGCAGATTGCAAAGGGAAGCCAACAGGTCACCATAACAAACATCTCTCCGGCTCATCGTGTGCCGGACAACAGAAAACAAACAAATGCTCGTGGTTGCTGATTCACTTTCTTGCTTCAAGCCTTGACGTAAAGAAGCCTCCTTCCCCCCGTGCACGAACGCAGCGCCACGGTGTCTGTGACGGTGGTGTTCGATTGTGGCTTAGCCACAGGCGGCTCGGTTTGATACAAACACATGTCAGATCCTCCTTTTAATTTACTTCACAGCCAATGCAGTCGGCTAGCTCTCTTGCTTGCGTGCCACCTCGACCACTGCATAGAACTCACCGAGTGAGATCTCACCACTCCTTGGCCATTCTGACAGGCGCTTAAGAGGTCGCGCTGACAGGGAAGCAAACGACCTGCATGAAGTACTGTAATTCTGTTGGGGACAACACCCCAGATGATAGTTCATGCCACAAGCTCAGTGACCTGCCCGTCCGTATCGAAGAAACGGAAGATGTTCATGTGATCCTCGAATCAAAGCTGCATTACATCACATCTGAATCTGCGCAGTAGATGTGCGTAAAGCTTGAAAATGAGCAAGTCTTCGCCTCTTTCGGAATGTTCTTGAAGTGCTTGGTCAGGAAGGCACAGAACCTGGTGCATCCAGGTACTCAAGCTTCAAGTGACCTTTTCAGCCCTGGTCGCACCACCGCGTTCAGAAGCGGAAGGGCTTAAAAGCCCTTTCTACAAGAGGTTTAAACAGTCAACTCCAACTCTCTACCGACAAGCCCTTCGTCAAACAGCAACGGCCTCGTCACTATGTAAAATTTCTGTGGCGGAGTTCGAACACGGCAACAGGATGCAGCTCACACATCTTGGCTCTCTGCTGCTCTTGCGGCAGCTCAACGTCCAGCATGTCACCAGTCCCTGGATCATCATAAAGCATTGCATGCGATATGGCTTCCTCCCTTCAACCGCAGTATGTTGCAACTGAGGCGTCTGAGGCCCTCTCAATACCGAAGCCTCTTGAGCTCGCGGATGGTCCCGAGAAAAGCCTCGTGCCAGTCCGCCGCTACATCTGCGGGTCTTCTCTGGCTCGGAACTCGTCCAAGATCCGGACATCGAACGCACGCTTTGTGGTGCAGAACCTACGCATCTCCGAAGGCATGTTCATACCCTTCGTCATTTGGGCTTCCGATTTCGGGCGCCTCTCCAACAGCTTCTGCCGCGCACCTGTTAGGGCACGGCGCTCCATGGTCCAGGCTTTCCGCGACAGAAGGACAGTGTTCCAACCAGACCCAATTCGACCACACGAGCGTGTTATGCCCAGCAGTCTGCCATCCGGATCGCTAGAAAAACTCCCGAGATGTTTCAAGACTTTCTCAAGAGCTCGGGCGCCTTTGATCTGCTGCTTCCATGATGCAGAGCCTGGACTAGACCGTTCGGTGACAGCTTACCGAAGCCTTGACGGATCTTGACGGCCATGTCCACAGTTCTTGTGGTGTCCGACCGACAAACCTATGACACTACGGGTAGCATCGGTCAGGGCTGCAGGGCTACAACGCATGGACCCGAGCGAGGAATGGTGCCGTGTAGCGCATCTTTGCCGCTACTTGCATCATGCCTAGACTCTGCCTAGACTTCTGCAGTCAGTCGGGTGACTTCTTACCCACGCCTGTGCTGGAAATTGATACACAGCTGCCACGGCTCTGAGCAGAGCCTCAACAAACTGCTTGATTTGGGCATACTCGGGTCGATTGTCACACTCAGGTGTGTCGCACGGCGCCTGCTCGGACGGACGGGCCTCGCTGCGGTGATGAGACACGTGAGCCCGCCTGCTCAAGGTCCCGAGAAAGGGGTCTGGACTGGGCGTGCAGCATGTGCCGAGGCATACTCAGATTGCCCAGACCCGTACCTCTGATGAGAGCAGCTTCGTCGTGACTGCCGAGTGAGGGCCTCATCGATATGTCAGCACATCGGCTCAACACGAAACGACAAGGCAACATCGCAACTTAGCAGCAGGCTGGAAACATAGTTGCTGGGATAGATTTGCTCCTGGTGGCAAGTTTTGATGCGGTGGCAGGCTTGGCCTGTAAGAACACATGCCGGGAACCATTCGCGACATTCAGCTTTTGGAGTAGCCCTTGGCTCCAAGTAGCTGTCCACAAAAGGTTCAGCGGGAAGCTGCAGTCGCCGAGTGACCTCCCCATGTCGAAAGCAGAATGCGACATGTTCAACGTTCCGGCCTCTTTGTCTTTTGCGTGGGCCGGAAGCTCACTGGAATCCTGCATGGTGCGCAAGGTTTTTGGCCGCTGCGGGCTCTCGGCCTGGCCTTTGCTGGTTGGTTCGCTGGCTCTGCTTGGAGATCCAGCGCAGACGAAACCCCTGGCCAGACGTTTGGATCTTCGCCATGGGAGGAGACCTGCAGACACCTAACCCAGAAGACACAAGACGTGGCAGGTCGGCTGCTGGCAAGGTCGGGTAGAGCAGGAAGAGAGCCCCCCTTGCCGAGAGTGTAACTTGTTTAGCCCTCTGCAGCTAATGGATAAAGTTTCCGCTACGCATGCTTCCGCAATTTATCGAAAGCAAGCCCACTCGTACTTTCAGTCCGGAACCTGCGCGGCTCTTGATCAAGCCGCATCCCCGAGCTTTGGCACAAACGAAGCCTCCACCTGCTCGTGTGGATAATGCCTGCCACGAGGTTCCGATCACACTTCAAACGATGTGCGCGTTCACATCAGTGTCCGTACGAGCATCCACTAGCCACAAGCTTTTTAGGAGTCGAGCGCCCATGCATTTGCAGGTTGAGGCCTTTGTTTTAAAGGGCAGCAGGTAGTTGAATGAGACGCATGGGACCTAAATTTTCGTACCTACGTCGCTTGGCCAACTTCCTCTGACCCCATCTCGGCCCCGGGGGGCATGGCCGCCATTGGCGCCATTGCCTGCTCTCCTAGCTGTTGCGGCATGCCTCCGTCGCAACCACAGCCAGCAAAGCCACCCAAGGCATTCATGTCAGGCATACAGCCACCACAACCATTCAGGCCACAACCACATCCTTGTGGACAGCCACAGCTGCTACAGGCTCCGCAGCCTGCGCAGCCGCATGCTCCGCAGCCGTCTAGTCCACACCCGGTGCAACCACATGCTCCGCATCCGGAGCAGTCGCCGAGGCCGCCACAACCACATGCTCCACAACCAGAGCAATCGCCTAAACCGCAGCCGCTGCAGGCACCGCACCCACCACAGGCACTACAAGCACCGCAGCCGCAAGCGCCACAGCCACAGGCGCCGCAGCCGCAGCCGGGGCATCCGGCGCAGCCACTGAAGCCAGCGCAGCCCAGTTGGGGCGCCATCCCGCCCATGGCACTCATGTCACCGAGGCCCAAGCCAGGCATTGCTGCCATCCCCAAGCCAGCACAGCCCATGTTCATGCCTCCCATCATGCCATTCTGCGCATACGGGTTTGTAAGCTGGGTCACGTCAGTCCGGACTGGTCCATATCCAGCTCCAGCCTGCGGCTGAGCCGTAGTCAGTGGCATCGATCCACCGGTTACGTTCTTTGCGACCATCTGACCTGGTCTGTTGATGCTAGGCTCAACATCGTAGGTCACCACGTCGCCAGGCTTGGGCATGGAGCCGACGCACTGCTTCACATGCAGAAACACGTCTGGCCCGCCGTCCTCCACCGCAATGAAGCCGAATCCTGTACTCGGGTCGCTGTGGTCATAAAAAAGAAAGGAAGACCTCGCCAAAGGCCCTGAACCCCTAATGACAAAGCTCAAGGACTCAAGGAGGCCGGTCCTTTCTCGGCATTGAAGGTCTTGACGGTTCCTTGTCTAGTGCCCATGCCTGAGCTCGATGTGCGGTTCGGAGATAAGACCGCAAGAACACAGGATTCTGGGGTGGTCTCCGAAAAAAACTTGACATCTTGCTTGCGGAATGGATGCTTTTCGCAGCTCCGAAAGAGCCAAACCTCAGGTTGAGTGGTGCACAATACGTCAGGTTGAGAAGAAGGCTTCTGCTTGACAAGCTTCACTCTGTCCATGGGCCCATGTGCGTGTTTTGCGCTTGGGGTCCCTTGCTGATTGGCCAACCACGCAGACTGCATAGCATATCATGCTCTAGACTCTAGACTTCACTCAGTTGGTCAGAGATCTGTGCTAGAAAGTTTCGCGAGAAATGCAGGTCATCTGCCCACCTTACAGGAGCTGGGCCCTTGGTCATGTTGATCCTTCGAGTTCGGGCTCCTGCGCGTCAGCTCAAGTGGTGCCTGCACACTGTCTGTTTTGGTGTCCGGCGGTGCCAGCAGCATGCCTAGACCTAGACCGACGATCACCATCGGAGAGTCGAGCTGAGCGTGGCGAGAGCAACTCGCAATGCAGAGGTTCACACATAAGTCTGCCAACACGAGAGCTGTAAGGACACAAAAAGTCTGCAACACATGTTCAGTGCTTGAGCTGAATGCTACCGCACAGGCGGCACGTTGACGAGCCTTTCAAACAGCTTTCAGCAAGCCCATCTATCGGCTTAAGTCAGCTTTGCTGGACGGGATCCCAGTGTCGGAGGCTGAAAGCAGCAGTTGCAACGTGTTACGACGGAAGCGGTGTTGATCTTCGGACTGTCATCCGTGGCATAGTGGCCTTTGGACCATCAAGAAGAGCTAAGCCGATTCCCCAACGAATGTGGAATCTGCTCGTCATGGAAAGGGCGATTGGAAGTGGAAGAGCGAAAGGCTCCGTTCACCAGGGTGTGAGATCGATCAAGTTCACTGGCGCCTCGCCGCGCTCCAGTTGTTGCCTGACCGACGGCCGCAACCATTGTGATTGCTGGTGATGCCCGTGCCGCGTGTCTGTGAAAACTCCGAAGTTCTCGACAGAGCTCCAAACTTAGGATGCTGTAAACTCAGATTCGACAGGCCCATGAGATGGCCCATGCATTCTCCAAGAATCAAGCCCTTGCCCGCTTGCCCGCGTTCTCGAGACGTCGGCCGGTGCTCGCCATTGGGCAGTCCAGAACGCAGTGTTAGGCTGTTTAGGTAGTTTCGTTGAAGCACATCCTGCAAAGAACTGGAGCCTGCAAGACTTGGTTCCGTAAACCCCCTGCAAAATCTGCAGCTAAGCTTCGGGTCCGTGGCGCCAGGCTGCTCTTTCACAGCGGTCCCACCCTTAACGTTTTTGGCCTCCGAGCATGGCCGGAGTTCATGTCTGCCACTGCGTGCTTCAGCTGCGCTATTCAGCTGCTGCGTGCAGGACACTGAAAATTGATTTACAGAAAATGTCAATAATAATGGTAATAATAATAACAACGATAATAAGAAAAATGATAATAACAACTGATCATCCTGGCCGGGCCTGCATCTGGCCTGGTTTGGATTTGCTGGGCTCCAGGTCAAACCTTAGGGCACGGCCAGCTCGCTGAACGATGGCCGATCTTGGGCGTGCTTGACGTGAGTCTCACATGTACACCATGGGGGTTGTTGTAGCTGCAATAAATTGCGTGTTCAATGTTGGCCCAACGTACGGAATCATACTGTGATATGCCATATAACTTAAAGTTTTGAAGCCCCATGCTGTACAGAAGTAGAGCAAACTCCAAGGAGCGTCAGCACATCGCCTGCGGCTGGCTGGTTCCCATCAATGCAGTCCTCGAGGGACCGTTGCAAAGAACGTTTAACCAAGACATGGCCCTTTAGATCCTCGAAAGAAGTATTAGAAGTATCCTCCCTGGCCAGTTTCGGGATCCCTGAATGTCGGCAGGGGGACACTGCAACGCAATAGTAAATGCTGAAGCTCAGACCTCGCATGATTCACAACATGTCCTTGATGTGGATGAAGACATCTGTTCCTGTGCCACCTTGGATTCAGAGACCAGTCTCACAGGTAGCCAATGTAACCCACCGAAACATATTGTCCAAAGCCACAATCGATGAAACCGAAGCCCTTCGCACCATTGAAGGACTTCACGGTGCCCGTGGCGCTCATGACAACACCTCGCAAAGGGCTGCAAAGGGCGGCCGTGTGCTCACTCGGAGTCTCAGCCCCATCGTTGATAAGAGCTAAGGCAAGCACTGCTTGGCGGCTGTGCGACATGTATTAGTCGAACTAATCTCAAAACTAAAGCCGCACCCTGAGAGCCACACAGCCACGCAGTTTGAACGAGCTCTCCGATTGGCCAAGATGCACTGCTACACTTGAAAAAACAAGCCAGGTCAACGGAGCAAGGTAGGGATTCTCGGAGGAGAATCTCAAGCCTCAGTCCAGGAGCGAATCTGCAGGATGGTCTCGAGAAACGGACGTCATGGCAAAACTACTCACTTGGGATACAACAATCAACGAGCAAGCCAGCAAAACTGTCGTTTTCGGGCCTTGAGTTTTCAGAGACGCTCTCTTGATTCAGAAGCTCAGTTGAGGCCCGAAGCAGAAAGGTCGCGAAACTCGCTGTGTGTACATGGCTATAGCGGCTTGGAACATCCATGATGTCGTGCCTCCCAAGCTGTGCCACTTACATGCTTTGGTGAGATCGCCGGGAACGTCTTGGCAGTGCAAGGCTAGATAATGCACACATGCCAAGAGTGCTTGGCTGTCCCAAATGCACTCCGCATCAGGGATGAAACGAAATCCTATCCTGTGAACTACGACGCCTATGCCGACGCGCGCTCAAATCCCTGGTAGCTCCACGAGTCCGGATTCACCACGCGCGACTCGCAGCCACGAGAGTCGTGGTCGAAATTCAAGCAGCAAGTCCACGCCTGTCCAAAGCGACACTGCTCTACAAGGTCGAGGCCTTGCAGCTTGTGCAATTGCGTGTGCCAGCAGGACGGTGCCTCCCGCTTCTCTGCCTCGTTCCATACGAACGTCCCAGGGTGGAAGTGCTGCTTGTACCTGCGGTCCTGCGAGCACTCGCAGAAGCTTCTGGGGGGCCCTTTGAGACGACAATCACTTGGTCCTGGGTCGTCAAAGAGAGGTTTGGCCGGAAGCTTTCATGCTGCACAGGGAACCGAGACATCTTCTCGTCAGCCAGGAGCTTTTCATTGAGCAGCCTGCAACAACGACACGTAGCGGGCTGCTCGAGCACGATAGTTCGATCCAAACCAAGCTCAAACTACCCAGTCACTGAAGAATCACCTCCTCTGTGAGACCCTTGGGTAAAGCATGCAAAAAAGTACTGCGGCAGTTTCCTCTGAGTTACACAACACAGATACTCAGCCACCAATTAGACATGCATAGCGCGTGATTCGACACATTTGTCGCAAATCCTACAACATGTGTCAGTTGTTGATGTATTCTCGTCATATTCCAGGCAACCTCTGCGCCATGGCTTGAAGCCGCTCTTCAGAAGCTTGAGGGAACTCGACTTTGAGTTCTCGCTTGAACTGGTCCTCCAAAGGCATGTTCAAGGTGCGACCTTCCTTCCCTGTGCTTCGGCTCCAAAGCGAGAGTCCTTCAGATCCTGGAAGTCCACCTTCCGCTCACGAAGTCTGTCGTTCATGTTGGTGATGGCCTGGACAGAGTCTGAGTGACACTAAGGGCTGTTACTGCAAACTGGTGGCAGCTGTGCTGGTGGCAGTGATTGTCGCTCCTGTCGTCCCTACTGCTGCCTGGCGGGCAAAATTTGGCGATCCCAACCGGGAACAGCGGATAGTGCTGTTCATGTTTCTGCACTGCTTTCAACAAGTATAACTGATAAAGCAAAGGAATAATCTGATCTGCTATCTGCAACAGCTGAGGTTTTCCAGGAGCCACGAGAAGTATGTGTGTGTGACAACAAGCAGCGCTCTGCTGAGAGCAAGGATGGATCAAAGCTTGCCGCCAGCAAGGGCCGGAGAATGCTTTCCCCCCATTTTTGTTGAGAATTGCACACCCTTTAGCAACGGGGACAGGTTACCAAGACAGGTCAACTACGATTTCGGCACAACAGGGAAGTCATGCCAGCGGCAGGGAATCAGTACAAGACACGGCATGCTGTGCAGTGAAGGTTGCGCCACTGAGCGTGTAGAGTTGAACAATGATCACACAGAGAGGCCTGTGGGCATGTACACGGGTGTGGAACTTCTACTCCTCCGTAATGTGACGTTTGACGCGTCTTCTACTCCTCCGTAATGTGACGTCAATACAGCGGAAAAGACTGCTCAACAGCAGAGGCGTTCGCTACCCGAGCTGGCACATGCTGCCAGACACATGTGCAAACAAATTGCTACAACTTGCTACATCACCAATGCATAATGCGGCTGTGTGGCCTTCGTAGGATTGACATAAGCATCCTTGTTCAGCTTGCTCTCCTCAGTCTCGATGGCAAATTCCGAGCTGGCATGACAGTCAGGGCTGGAACGAAATTGACGGTGTAGGGCAGTGTACGCTTCTGGTCTCTGCTCGCCACGGAACCTGGGCCATCAAGCGCCTGCGACGGTCATCCTCGGCCAAAGCTCAAGTGATCGACTCGCTGATGATGCGTTCGACTGCTGCTACCGACAGATGAACACAGAAGTGCTGTTGCTGTGCTAGGACACAGGAGATGCTGAGTAAATCTAGATTGCGGGTTGGCCTTTTCATTGCCATAGCTATGCGGGCACACTATCTTCTCCTAAAACAGAAGTGTTTCGTTTTCCATTTTTCGAGAGAGAGAGAGAGAGAGAGAGAGAGAGAGAGAGAGAGAGAGTGACTGTGTGGGTGTAAGTGTGTGCTGTATCCAGGAAGCCTTCTGCTGCACCACCGCCTGGGCCTGGACGATGTCCTCCTACGACGTGTTGCCACACACTCGATGCAAACTCTAGACTCCTTCAACACTTCATGCAACTGTTTCCCATGCCCGGATATGTTCACTCCACCCCGACCTTGGTGTGAGTGCTGTAAGAAGAATTCCAGTCACTCCAATGATCGGCGATGCAGTGGGCTGGCAGGCCGCGCTCGTCAATTGCATTGAACCACCTGCCTGCTCGCGCCAAACACACCCAGCAAGGGACCAAGACAAGGAAGTGTGAAGCCGCTTGGCCTGACAGCTTCCCAACTGGCCCCTGGCCAGTGAGTGCCACAATGAACCTTAACCGAAGCCACACAGAAACCAATGTTCCAAGCATCCTGTAGCAGCGCGCAAAATGTGAAGTGCAAGACAAACTTTGTGGGGATAGCGGATAGCTTGGGGTGGCGAGGTTGGCTGGGTGGATTGGTGAGGTAGGCCGTGTTCGTGTGCACTCGTGTGGGGAGGAACTGCTTCAAATAAACATAAACTTTTCCATGGGGTAGCCCTACATGGGAGGGGGGGAAGGCTTCGGTTTATGTCCACGAGAAGCTGCCGTCAGTGTGACAACTTCTTCGACATATGTCATCACCGCAAGGTCTACCGGCACATCTCGAACGAGCAAAGATGCGCACAATGGTGCAGTGCGAGCTCCGATCGAAACACGGCTCACGGTCAGACGCAACTCTCAGTGGAATCGCTGCCAGAGTTGAAGATTCTGCACGGAGCAACTATGAAACTGGATGCCAGGGGGCCAGGGGGCCTGTGGCGCACGTGCAGCGCGGTCTGCGGGTTGACGGGTGTTGTGGCGGGGGGTGGGTCTGGTGTGGATAGTAATGTAATGGAAAGGGGCCTGGCGTGATCTCCGAAGTGCCTACCCCAAGTCTTAAATGCACACGAGTGGCTTATGACGTTCGACGATCGCCTCATCGGTGTGAGCTTTGCAAGGCTTGAGAATCTTCTCGTCGTGGAGTCCAGCTCGGACTTGAAGTAAATGGCGTTTCAAGTCCTGGGTGCATCATAAGACTACACAAGCCGAACGGAAGCCAAGGCAAGGGCCAACTTTCTGCTCAGCGCTCGGTGACTCCGCGAAGCTAAGACTTTGAGGCTCTGCAGCTTGAGGCTTGCAGCCGATTCGTGCAAGCTTAGCATTGAAAAGCTTGACAGCCGTGCCGCGATTCATCGCGTCATGAATCTGCTCAACACGCTGCACTCTCGCAACAGGCCGCCCGTCGATTGTTTTGCGAGCCCCGCCCTTGCCTGACCATATCACCACTGCCACAGCTTTACTCCGGGGATCGATTCTGCACACAACGAAGGTATCGCTCGACGTTTGGGCCAGGACAGTTTCCCAAAGCAGCGCCATGGCAATATCCCATTTGCTGCTGAGCATTCAGATATGCGATGGCCATCTGTCTTTCACACAATGCAGCGCAGTGCTTGACGTCGCGCCCCGTTGCCTTTCGGCATCACAATGAGCTACGAATAATGAATATAATGCATGTGTCTAGGGCAGTGTTCAAGGACAGAAGGCTTTCGTGACACTACTGTAAAACTCTGCGGCCGACCTTCGCCAAAGAGCTCACCTCTGCAAGTTTTGCCAAGTCATCTTCCTTCAAGTGCTTCGCATATTTCCTCCACATCGTATTCAAGTGCTCCTTCTCCGGATGAACAAAGCTTACAACTTCCGCTCGATGCCGGACATCCCATGGCAACTTGTCTATGCAGTTGGTGGTGCCCAACACGAGAACTTTGCTTGCAGATGGTTGGCATACCCCGTCCAGAAATTGCCGCAATCCCGATAAGAAGGCTTCGTGAGAGGCATACTGGTCAATCTCGTCCAGAAACAGGATACAGTCCCGACCACGGATCTCCTGTCGAACTTGCGAAGCCCAACCGCCCGTGAAGTATGCCTGCCCATTAGAACCAGAGACTTGCGTCGGGTTCACGGTTAGGAGAGGAAGGCCAAGGGCACGTGCAAAGCTGACTGCATGCTTGCTCTTGCCTGTACCCGGAGGGCCGCTTAGAAGGACCATCTGAGCTCCATCACAATTCGATGCGGTGTCCTCTTCTCGAGTTATCCTCTGATAAAAGCGGAAGTCGTCACAAAGCTCCGCGTAGTGACTGAGCAGCTGCAACTGCTGGGCTTCCGTTCCGACGAGCCCATCGGCTCCAAAAGCACGCTGTCCTTTGGCCTCGGCACCAGGGAGCAGCTCCTCGGTGAGCCGTGGGCCGTGTGGGACTTGTGCAGCGCCAGCCAAGCCAGGCAGAACCTGCCCGACTGCTGGGACCTGGCCTACCGGAAGTGCAGCTGTGGGGCGATCCCGTCTGGGCGGTAGCTCCAAGTCCTCTAAGGTCACTTGCAGCTTGGGTGCTGGCTCTGTCTGGCTATCCGGCTTCCCTGCCGAAGAGCCCATCAAGGCAAGACATGCGTTGTCCTTCTTGTCTGGTGATATGAACCATAACATGCTTACACAAATGTGATCAACCAGCTTTTTACTCGAGAGCAGACACACACTGCTCGTGGAAATGTCGCAAGATTTGGGCCATCTTGCGGCGGCTCAAGTCGTCTGGCGGGGTCAGTAGGCTGTCTTGATCCTCAGTAGCTCTTGAAATCATACAGTCTAACAGACAAGCAACCTTGTGAACATCCTTCTGAATCTTTTGATCGGCAATGGTTGAGGAGTTCCTGAGTAGAAACGGATCCAGCACATGGAAGTGCAAGGCCGACCAACAAGCTCGAGGCCTGGATTGCCTGTCAAGGCGCCAGTCGCGCTTTTCAGTGCCCAAGATGTTTGGCTGTTTCCGTTTTTGGACAGCTCGCTTGGACTCGAGCACCTGGCAGACTGTCACCAACTGCAGGAGAAGGACAACATGTTCTTGATACCACGAACTATTCCTCCAATCACTGTTGATGTTGTTGGCTTTGCTGCTGCTGCTGCTGCTGCTGCTGCTGCTACTACTACCACTACCACTACTACTACCACTACTACTACTACTACTACTACGACGACGACGACGACGACGACGACGAGTACGACTACTACGATTACTACGACTACTACAACTACGACGACTACTACGACTACGACTGCGA